TTTTACTAACTTTATAGAAATAACCTCAGAAAAAAATTCAAGACTTGTCTTTTCTGTAATATTTGGTGATTTTTTGTTTTAAAATCTTAATAGAGATAAAAAAAAAGATACATGTTATAGTTAACTTGACGTGTTTTAATTTCCTGTGTTACTAATCTTTTACTTCAACATTTTTTCTTATTATTGTAAGTCTGTAATGATAATGTTACATTTAATATTTGTGATCAAAACTTACCAAGAAATTAAAGGTAATAAACTCTTCTATGCTTCCTATACACATCACAACGTTGTGACGAAATTATGTTTTTGACCTTAACCACTATTCGAGATTGATCTTATTTTGTGAAAATGGTGGCCTCAATAGGGTCCAATAGGGGAAGCAGAGCTGATTCTTTAAATACCATCTTCTTCTTAAGGTATGTCAGAATTTGTCCAAATTTTGTCTGAAGATGAGGAATTAATCATGTAGCTATTGAGGACATACCGCGTCGCGCATGCGCAGATTTTTCGCTTAAGGTGAACGATTTGTTTTACTATATATCATATAGCGACATTCAGAAAAAAATATCAGTATATGGTTCTGAAGATAAAAATTCCAGAATTGCATGCCTCTGATCAATAAAGGAGTAGATGCATTAAGGGTCAATTTTGACCCCAGCATAGATTTTCTTAATTTTTATATCATGCAAACATGGACATATGACATTGATAAAAAAACAAGTTTTCAATAATTCTGACAATGCGTTGCCTAGCAACGGGCCTGGAAACCAACCTACTCTTTACCGTCTATTTGCACATTTTAGTGATATTCCACTGTTTTTTTTATTATTTGGTGAAAATATTTAATCAATTTTTACATATCAATGGTATGATTTAAAAATCATATCATATTTGTGATCAACCATCATATATTACATGTTTAAGATTTCCTAGCAACACAATAGCAACCAAACTCTCTCCATAGCAACGGATTGTAATAAATACAATAATGGACACAGAAAATTGATGATAATACTCAAGTGATGTTTAGATTATGATACATCTTAAAAATGTAAATATGATGACACAATAGAGCATATAGGTGGTATTCCACAGTAACCATGTCTTACCATAGCAACTAAATATTTCACCATAGCAACAGTACATGCAATAATTAGTACATCAATTTGTCAATACTTCCGTACACGGTTATCTTTACATTCTTGGTTAATTTGAAAAGGATATGAAATCAAACATGTTACAGTTAATGATTCTTACAAAAGTTAAGTTATTTCATATAAACATTATGCACTAACAAAATACATTGTCATTCGAGATTAAAGTCAATTCCTCAGTCGATCAAGTGACCATCGTGCATTTGTATTTACATTTTTGGAGATTTATATGTAATTTACATGGCTACATCGGTAAAGCTGTGCTGTTTTATTCCTCCGTGTTACCTTCATCATCACTCTTATCAATACTAATTGGGTCTGGTGTATAATTGGCATCTTGTAAATATTGTGTCCAGTCCTTACTAAAGTCAACGGACTTGTCTAAATGACGTGCAAATCACATATACCATACGATTGATGCAACATCGGAGCAAGTCCCAACCATTCTCGCCCCAGGACGGCATGTACAGTACCATCCTTGCACATTACAATCATCAAATGGTAAAGTTTTGAGGAAAAATGTCGGCTCTGTATCTTGGCATTGATCAAATTAGCATCTACTTTACAGATAGATACTTCATATCCTCCCGTTTCGCTCATATGTTCCTGTGTGTAGGACCGTGCCAGTTTGAGCTGATACACTCCCAGTGTCAAATTCCGCAGGTCTTCTTCTGTCAGAACAGGAAATATGATAGCACTTGTGGTCTCCATCTTCTGCCACTTACTAGGTCGATTGAAAAGGCCTTCTCGTTCAATTCTCTCCCAGAGAGAATTCTGCTTCCTTGACAAATGCAACATTTTCGATCCTAGCAGTTGATCTTGCTCTGCGTCCCCCGTGCTTATTGTTGTACCGAACTTGTTGAAGATTGCATACACAATCCTGACAATATCGCCTATGTATGGAATCTGTGAGTTTGGCAACACACGATCCAAATATTTCCAGGTTTTTAATCGTCCATTCACAGCCTAAACGACCCATCTGAAAAATAGTAAATAGATGCATTTTGAATGTGAATAAATGCAGTATTCAAATGCAATGATGGTAACTATATCAAATAAATTTTGTTTTCAATTTCGACGACATCTTCTAAATGGACAGGTTTATGCAGTTCAACTTATAAAATCGAAAGTATCTAATTCTCACTGGGAATTACCTTTAACCATTTTAATGATATATTAATACAAATAAGTTATAAATATATTGTAAAAGCAATTGGTAAAGTTAGTGAAATGTTACTCAGAACAAAGAGAGACTTTACCTATAAAGCCAATTAACTAACTGCAGCAAAAAATGAAGCTAGGTCAACAATATCAAATAGCCACAATATGATAATGTTCATTGTGCTGACGAAACTTACAAAGTAGAAGACTTACGTTTAATTTCTGAATCAAATGTATCCATAAAAATATTTGAATTCAGGTCCTCAGGATCGTTATGTTACCGGGATTCTTCAAAAGAAAATATGCATGGTAAGATTTTTCATCATATTAATTTTATAATAGCATAAATGAGAGAAATTATACCCTGGCCCATAAGATTAACACTTTGGTTTCTGCATGTATATGCTGATTATTTGATGCTAGCAAAAGTAAGTCCGACGCAAAAAAATATATATAGAAAAAAAACTACCCCAGGTCGATAACAATTCAGCAAAATGACATCTAACGCGATGTAAGAGTTACAATATCTCCAAAAGAAATATTTGTAACACCAAGACTATCGATGCAAATATAATTGTTTGTATTAGAATGCAAGGATATTTATATGGAAAAATACATGTAGCAACATGATATAACGTCCTGAAAATATTCAAATATTTATAATTTCATCAGTACATTATTGATGAATATAACTATTACAATCGAGAATTATTGAGGTGAAAGTTATAGGAAAAAATAAGAATAAAAAACAAAGTTGTATGACCGCGATTTGAATTCGCCAGGGCAAATCTGCAGCTCCAGAGCATCGCACCTTCACCATTACACTACAGCGGCAAACTACGTCACTAATAAGTGAGTTAGTTAATATAATTCAAAACCAACACACTTCGGATGTGCACGGATTTTATTGTGGGTGTGTGAATTGACTCTTTAGTTTAGCCATTATTTTTTTCTGACGATAAATCCCTGCATTTCGTTTGGTTGCAAAAATCTATTTTTAGACGCAGACTCCGACAACGTTATTATGGAAAATACCGTTTACAAACAAAAAAAAGAAAAGGTTTTATTTTATTTTTTATACTTATTATTGTATTTTTACTTACTGCATACTTATCAAAACACTAGCAATATGTACAATGACTATTTTTTCGAAGTCAGATCTGACGTCTGCTCATATGCACAAACGTAAACAAATCACGACAATGTCGTGAATACACAACATGGATATCTTCTACATAATATTGTTACATACCTGTTAGAGATGTAGACAACTTCTACAAGATGTGCAGATTGTGTTGACAGCTCTTCTACGTAACATACTTCAAATGTAGGCTGAAACTTAAAAGATCTTCAATGCGAGTTTAGACTAACGTACAATGTAGCGCATGAGACTCGGGCCTAGGAGATTGCAAAATCTACGAGTTGTTAAGATGGATACTTTTTTGTCATTTTTTAAAATACATTTTTTTTTTCATTATTATTATCTAATTTTATTAACAAACATAAGTCAAGTCATTTTTCATGTTTTTGTCTTTTATTTCAGCATCCATTTACTTACGCTATCTTGTAGTCGGTCTCGACGCTAACGTTACGCTGGGCAACGTCAAAATCTCACTAAAATCGTGAAATGTGGTTACAAATTCAGAAGATATTTGTTATTTTAAATACCTCCCCAGGCATGTACCAAAAAAATATTTCGGCACCGCAAACATAATGTGGAAATCGTTCTCATTGATAAATATAAAATTGGTACACCCTTGGGGAGGTAGTTAATTTTTCGTTCAAAGTCATAAAATATCGAGAAAAAAATCGTGAGTTTTGTAAACGTGACGTTTTCCCGCAAAATTTGTGACGTCATCACAAGTGTTATGAACCTATTTTTATCTGCATTTCAACTGATAAGTTGTTAAATAACACAAATGGGTACATGATTAAAGAATTTTCTAACAAAGAAAAAAAAAAGATTTTTTGAGGCCAATTTTGAGCCAAAGTGCATCTACTCCTTTTAACATTTCTTCGTTACAAATATAGAATTTTTACATTTTTATGAAAATCAGTTGTGTCAATTTTTAGTTGAAACTTACTCATTGATCTCCTTCAAAGTCTTACAAAATTATTAACTTAACGATTATTTTGACAACTTCAATGTGAAAAAACACAATATTACGAAAAATTCCCCAAATCAATGTGTATAAACTGTGGGTTTCGTGTCCCTGAGGAGGGAAAGGGGAATACGGCAAATCCATTAAAATTGTTCTTATTCTTTGGGAAATCTTGAATTTTTTTCCAAATTTGGTAAGTAGCATTCATGAACGAAGGACATTTATTTTGTGCAAATGATGCATGTGACTCCGATTGGGCAGAATGGCGGGGCTAATAGAAGAAACAGATATAAATGTTTTAAATGTGTGAAGCGGTCTAAGTGATCTTAACCAGGTGAGCTATAGTGGACTTATAGATCTGTAGTTTGATATTTCATCATTGGAACCCATCAGGCTATGAAAGGAATATGCTCATAATGTACCAGGAAGGCTCATTGAATTAAAGTTTTCCCATTGGGCACATTAACAGTACATACAATGTCTGTCATGTTTACCTATACACATACGCGAGAACTTTTTCTATTGACTTACACGTAAGATAAATACTTACAGACATATGTTAGCATATGTTGTCACTGGCAAGATGGATCGTTACGGCCGCAGAAAGGTGATCAGATATGTCTTGTCACTGCTTGTGCTTGTTCCTTTATTACTGGAAACAACTTTGATCATCTACATATTTATGAGTAAGTATAGAATTTCACTGCAAGTTTCAACTGAATGTTTGGGTAATCTGTATATTTCATAATTAAGTCTATTTCTCTATTTAACAATGGCTATTTTCTTGTTAACACACGGTACACACTTATTGCCGTGAAAGTTTTCAATGTGATAATTGTCGGCAAAGTGCCTATTGAAATTGTACAATTCTTTCATGTACAATATAGGTATACACAAGTTAGTTATCTACAACCTATTGATAACGCAACATATCCGATATGTCCAACATCAACTTCAGGTTATCGAAACCGAAACCAACAACTGTCTTCCACTACATTTAACAACTCTTCAGACATCCTTCGGGTTTATTTGAAAAAAAGAAATGGTAATGATGCGCTTTTGGAACACATTGTCCCGTTTTTATTCCTTAAAAATAAAAAATATATATTTCTATGCATGTACATATTTATTTTCATATTCATATTTGATCAGCCGATCTGTGCTTAATGAACATGATTTGTGGATTACGTGTACCCACGAAATCCTCGGAAATAAATCGCAACGAACACAGGTGATTTTACAGTATTACTTCATGTCACATCTTATCATTACAAGAAATAGTTTAAACCGCGCCCTTGAATATATTCAAAGACACAAAGTATTTCGTGCTGTGTGTTATCCATTCAGACTCTCTTTCTGTTCTACAGACTCGTAGCAATGGAATAACATTTTCATTTGTAATACATTAATACTATATCACGAAATTGCCTTTAACTTTCGTATTGCTTTTTGCTGGGTTCTTAGGCACATGGGAATACCAGGCAAGGAAAAAGCAGATCGTGCCGTAAAGGAAGCTTTATCGCTTCCATCTGTTGTTTTTAAACTTCATTTTACCGATTTTAAACCATTTATTAAACAAATTTTAAAAGGTCAGTGGCAGGAGAAATGGAATACCTATACCAATAACAAATTGCACTCCGTTTAACCTATTATCAGTGAATGGTTTCCAGGCTATAGAGACAACCACCGAGACAAAGTTGTCCTTGCCCGTCTTCGGATGGGTCATACATACCTTACACATTCATACATGTTGAATGGCGAAGATAATCCTCGGTGCATAGGATGTGATGAGCTATTCACCGTTAAACATTTTTTATTGGACTGCATTGGGCATCTGTCTACCCGAGAATATTTTTATCGTAATATTACATGTCTAAAAATCCTGTTTGAAACTGCTGAGATTTGTAAAATTCCACATTACCGGAAAGATGTTGGTCTATATAAAAGACTATGAGATACCATTTCAATCTTTTGTGTTAACATACCCATTTAAGATTTTTAACATTTGTCTTTAACCTTTTGGTTTGTTTAATGTTATTTCCTTTTGGATCGCTGTGTGTTTTACCGTTTGATGGCCCTAATGACCTTTTATGTGTTGACGGGCCGTTACGAATGTTATAATAATAATAATAATAATAATAATAATAATAATAATAATAATAATAAACAATCTAATACTATAGACCCATTCACGAGTCCTACAATTACTTTCGTCCTTATGGGTGATGAAATGCTACATTGTTGAAGTTCAGGAGTCCAAATTGTTGAAAGTAAATATTAAAAACCTTAATAAAAGTACAAAATATTTCACCTTTGTAACAACAAAACAATTGACTATTGGACTGTTAAATGTAAAAACAGGTAAAAATTAATCTGTACCTCTTGATAAAAAACATACAGCCGAGTTCATAATTGTTTGGATGTCTTATTGAATATGATATCTTCTGGTATAGCACGATGTTAATATCATGTTAGAACGTTTGACGATTTTTTAAAATTGATTTTCTTATCAGACATGTGGACATCGAACCGGAAGGGTTACAGCAATTGTGAATTTTCAAAACGATATTCATGAAGATCTTACTTCATGTACGTGACAGACGAAACTAATTTTGTCGTAATTTGGTTTTCAGGCAGACAGTATACACTTCAAAAACAAAGGACACTAGATTGGCATAGTGTTACGTCAGAGGTGAAACATGACCAACCTGAGGTATTTAGTAATTTAAAATCAAACTTTTAAATAGACATCACATGTTATGTAACGATCCCTTTTTCTGTCTTTTGTATCATCATTGTTGCATGTCTGATGTATATATATAATGAGCATTTCATGGTGGTCATTTGAAATGGACTGTGAATATCGGGATAGCATAGAAACGTAACTGGAAGTGTATACAACACACACAACCAATACAAATAGTAAGGTTTTACCGTGATGTCCCCTTAAATACCATCTTAAAATATTTCAAACTGGATTGTTTTTAACTGTTAAGTAAAATTATGTTATTTTTCGTTTTTATTGTAGATGCATATCAATACCCACAAGTTTGTTGCGTGTTGTTATCTAATAGTTTTGTTTTCGATATTCAAATTAGCTCTATTTACTTTTTTTCTAATTATATGTCTAATGATTACACCATATATGCATTATCTAAATCAAGTTTTGATGTCATTCTCCAAATTTTGTTTCTATTCTTTTATTGAACTTTTCACATTTCAATATTTGTTGTTAAAGAAATTAGTGCACGGGTTTTGATACACACGTGCATTCAACGCCTCGGAATACAGGATTTTTGATCACATTTTCTCAGAGCTTCATTTTAATAGCCTCTCAAATGGCTAGTTACACAAATGTGAAAATATTAAATCAGTTGACTTTAACATAGTTATGAACGTAAGACATAAATACACGGATATCGTTACAATGGCTGATGTTCTCAATTATATATATATATATGTATGTATGTATGTATGTGTGTGTGTGTGTGTGTGTGTGTGTGGTGTGTGTGTGTGTGTGTGTGAATGAAAATACATTAAGAAAATACCAACATGGCAACATAATAATAACCCAAATTCAAATTCCATAAAACTAGGGCAAAATATAGATAAAAGAAAGATTTACACGGATACTTCTGAACATGTATAAGGAGAGAACGACCAGATGTTTCGGCAGATTAAGCGTCTTGAACTAAATTAAAATGTGTCTCTAATGTGATAACAACATCGCCAGGTATACTTTTATCTTTCAGCAACAGAAAGTACCAACACATCCGCCACTCAAAAGCATACTCGACCGAAGGAAAGTAGATATGGATTCAGAATGTGGGACAAAGTCCATTTATCCATTGTCAGAAAACCATACACTTGTATACAACAAAGCATACAATTTTATCTATTGTGAAGTGCCGAAAGTTGGGTCAACATTTTGGAAAAGATTTCTACATCAAATCAGAACAAACACGATTGCTAGTCCATTTGATATCAAACCCCAGATAGTTAACGATTTAAAAGTGAATGACGAATTCAATAATATCAGTTCCACGCTAAAAAATTCGACTAAATTTTTATTTGTCCGCAGTCCTTATCATCGTCTGTTTTCTGGATACATCGACAAATTGTATTCTCCTAATCCATATTTCTGGTCGCTAATTGGAAAACACATTGTTAAGAAATTCAGGAATAGTTCTGTATCTCATAACTGTGGACATGACGTCACATTTCAGGAGTTTCTTCAATATGCAGTTCATTCTGAAAATACACACGAAAATCAAAACAACCATATTATGTCATATTGGCAGTTATGTTCTCCCTGTCACGTGAAATATGACGTCATTGGTAAGATGGAAACCTTTAAGAACGATACCGAATACCTTCTGGACAAATTGCACCTTAAACAATACAAGGATATCTTGAGAAATATGTCCTTTGATGCCGTGAATGACGCCTTGTATGATACTGCGCAGGCGTACGTCGCCATGAGGACATATTCTCGACGCTGTATCTCTCCACAGGAAGCAGCAGATAGGACATGGACAAAATTAAAAGTGAGGGGGTTCATTGCCGATGATTTACCAGTTCCTACTGGACTTAATCTAAAAATGGTGAATGAGGTGTTTGAATTATTCCAAAATGGATATTTAAAATCTGTTTCAAAACTGGGAAATTCTGGATTAAAGCACCAACAACGTATAATTTTTCAGCAAGCATTTCGGAAAATACCACGTCAGATAATTAAAGATATACAAAAGGCATTTGATATGGATTTTAGAATATTTGGTTATGATAAGCAAATTGTGGATACGAATAACGAAGCCATTTCTGATATATTTATCAAGAATGTTATGTTTTAAATACTTTTTCATCAATTAGGCTCATACACTGCCTTCTGGGCAGATTTAAGTAGTTATGGAAGTGAAATGGGTTTATGTATCATGTTGATATGATGAGCCTCGTGATCGTGCACTTGCTGTTCAATCTACATTGTTGAATAAAAAATACTATATTTTAGATAAAATATCTTGGAAAAGATTCTTTAAAAAATGTATTTTAATTAAAAGACTGTTAAATGATCTTCATTTCTGCAGAATGACATAATAGCTTTTCCGATAAGTATGCATTTTATTTTGTATACCAAAATATCCTCAAGCCAAAATCCATTAACCGAATTTCTTATGAAACAGGTAAAGGCTTTGTCAACATATTCACAATTATGTGTAACAACCAACAAAATAGATAAATAAATAACTAAAAAATAAAAAAAATAAATATAAATAATAATAATAAATAAATAAACTAAATAATTAAATCAAAGAAAAAAAATAGAATTAAATAAAGAAAAGAAAAAAGAAAAACAAGGCGTGTTTTGAAAAACTATGCCTCTGTTGCATCAAAATTCTGAAGATTGCAAGCACACGCTGTTAAACACCTATGTCTTCATTATTATAATGATTTTATTTTTACTTCCATATGTTATGAAAGATCAACGGCCACATTGTCAAAATGTTCGTACCACCAGAATGGTTTTGTAACAATGGAACACAAATGTCAGGTATGCCATACCTCTTACTGTCCTATAGTTATGGGTAAGGTTACAGTTGACAACAGACAATTATATCACTATTTAAAAACAATAAAAAGACCTGTATGTGACCAACTTATTCAAATTGGTTCTCTATCATTGACTCTCGTCTCGAGGACAATTCTGTTCAATATTTAAAAGACAGTTCAGCTTGAATCATATCTATTTAAGCTTGACTCTAAATAATTATTGTCAAGTATAGAATGTAGTATTTTAAATTTCTTATTGAAACTGGTAGACGTGTATACCACGTAGTCATTTTGTTTGTGTATTATCTTGTAATTGTAATGAGAATGTTTCAATGTAATAATGCTACAATTGTAGTAAAGCACAACGCACCAAATACTTCGCACGCTCACTGTGCATACATCATGTGTGCACACGTACGATACAGTATCGTGCACACAACTGTGCGATAGGACCGCACATTTTGTGGTCTTTGGTCAAAATGGTTGGGTAATGTCACGGATTGAAAATTAAACGGAAAATTCGTGAAGCTTTTACTAAATCACATGGACATAAAAAGTGATCGGTAATTATAAAAGTCATTTTTAATCCGGCAGTTTTCAAATAAGGCTGGGGCCTGCAGTAATTAGTCTTCAAATATTTGCCATCGCCTGTCGCCGCTCTATGATTCTTGTCCATTTTGAATTTGGCAGAATAGCCTCCGGAAACAGATTGGGCCGTAATGATCGCCACCTACGCAAGCTAGTTTCACACCTCAGAAAGCGGCGAGTAGTTATGCCTCGGTCAACAAAACGTTTACCTGTATTCGGGTATATACTTGACAGGTCCGGGCCTGTAACACACCGAACACTTAACACCTACATGAGCATCTAATTTTTGTATACGAAATTGATGAAAAATCAGAGAAATACAGACGTAATAAAAATGAAATTTCCTTCCTGATTTAAAATGATTCACTGATGTGACATAAAGATAGGTCCATTTAATGTTTCATATATATTGTATATATAATGTGTGGCTCTTTGTAAACAAAACACTTCAAAATTACGAGTGCGTCTAACAAGAAAGTGTGTATCTGATATATCTACAAGTGTCCAACCCATATATTAATGACTTAATAAGGAAATATACTTAGTTGTATTCTTATATATTAAGAAAAAGATAATAAACCCTACCCCACACGTATTTATAAGTCATTTCTAAATTTATATCAACCAAGATAGAACCGCACAACATGTGGACCAATGTGCGATAGTTTATTTCGTCCAATTTTCCTATCGCGCTTACATCATGGAGCGTTGTGCGACACCACAACTGTATTGTAGCTAAGTATAGACATTAATATTTTACACATTGCTAATATACAACGCCAAGTGTAGCTAAAATGGGAGGTACACAACAACCGTATGTCTGAGATTTGTAACGGACCTATATTAGTCAGACTGATCTACATTTTCCCAAACGGTTTAAAATCTGTGTACTTTACACTAATTTAATCTACATTCTATGTCTTACTTGTTGTACGTTTGTGTTACTAGTCCATTACCCTTGTATGTTTGAACTTGAAGTCAACACCTAATTAATATTTACAACGAGATTCCGTTAATTATGTTTATTTACATGCTAAAATTTATTTAATATATACCATTGTATAGTAACTCTATTACATTGTCTGCCAGGTACGATCGAACTTCGTTATCTTGAACTCTTGTAAATAGAAGACGCCATTTAACCTGAATCATTTCAAATCTCTGTCTAACTTTATACAAACCATTCGAACTCACCGCAATTGAACCATTGGTTATCTCAAAATTTTCCCATGATCCCGATTTATTCGAGATAAAGAAGTTCGACTGAATATTGTTTTGTAAAATTGACCTCTTGCAACAAACAGAATTGTTTCTAGATAGAAAAAAAATCTGAAATCTGTATAAAACAACACTTTTATTTGTCTTATAGAAAGTTAGCAAATAACACCCCTTACACACAGTGATAGAAATGTTAAATATTTTTATGGAAAATAGTACAAGTTTTCCCATGAACCCACAGAGTTCGAGATAAAGAGATTCGACTGCACTTTGAATGATATATGAAAACCAACGTCAAATCACTAGTTAGCTAAATTCTAACAAATTTGTATATTCCTAATAGAAGAGATCGAATACATTGATGACAGAGTATTTACATTCATGTTGTAAGTATTTTTTGGAGGATGAAAGAGACCAAACTTTCGTTTTAATGTGAAATAAACAAGGTCAGTCATGCATTGTTATTCATCATCATCCCTTTCCACTTTTCATTTAAGAAAAATAAAGAAACCTTAAATTCCTTTTGCTGGTTGTTGTAATGATTGAAAAGATATAATCTTAATTGAAATGCGTTTTTATAAACCATTTCATGAATTAGCAACATCGAAAATGATATAGATAATCACCGTCCTTTCATTTTCAGTAGCAAATAAGAGGAACAATTTGGTCGACTAATGATTGTAAAAACGACCAGAAACCGAAAAATTGTTACGCCAATTAGAAATTGCACACATTTTTTATTACATTTTTTCCCGATGAAATATAGAGAAATATTGATAAAAGTGTTATTTTTACTAGTGAAAAATAACACTTTTGCACACTTACACCAATGAAATGAGAGAACACAAATCATCTTATAAAATTTACAAATCATAAAAACCGATACATAAAAACGCAAAACCTGAAACCTGAAGGGGGTTGTTAACCAGTAACACGACCTTCAATTCCATGGTAAACTTTCATTTCAATGAAAGTCAGCAAAACAATGCAACGCAGATCATATTATCAGGGATCAGGCTGTAAGTTGCCATCATATTTTCAACATCCTAGTAACTTTTCACAGGTTAAACTTTCTGAACGTTTTACAGCATTTTCGTGCTGTTAGTGACATGAATAATTAATATTTTCTATGTGAATAGGAAAATTAATTTACATTGAAATTTATTTTTGTGTTTTACATATTTTCTAATGATTTTCTAAAGAATGGACTCTATTTTGTTGTGTACTGTAAAGTTAAAATAAGTGAGAAGTGAGTAAGCCTATTCAGCTGTCTCCTTTTATATATGTTCCAAATATGCCGGTAATTTGGTTATTTCTGCTTGTGAAAATGTAATAATAAGAATATTTAATAGTGTCTTCAGTAATAACAAATATATTTCACAAGTGCTCAGGAGGGAAAGATACAAAAAATATTAAACACACAAGTGAAATATATTTGTTATAACTGAAGACACTTTTAAATATCTTGATAATAAGAAAGGGTTTCCAATTTTCACTTCACAGAAGAATGCATGTCGTAGAAACGTCCAGAAACCATGACGACACAGCAAACATGTCAACATGTTTACGAATTTGTATAGATGACTGTGGCATTTTTATGAAAATGCCATTTATTGAACATACATGGACTCGAACATGTGTTACTGTATAGGCGAATGTTGACCTGTCATGATATGTTTTTATGGTGAAGATATACATGTATTAAAATGGTCTAAGGTCGATAACTCGAAATAATCACATTTATGTTAGAGGTTTGTTACATTTATTTATTTAATTATATATTTATCTATTTATTCCATAGCAATTGCTGATTCATTTTAATGTACAATGTATTTGTTGTTGCAGTAGTAACACATGTCACTGGGAAAATGGATATTCTTCAGCAAAATATATTTACATGGATTAAAATAGAGACGGATCGTCGTACACATTCTTTTTATATGTAAATTGAATCAAAGTTTATATTTTATGGAAAAAAACTACACACTACATAAGCGTGAATAGGAAATACCTCTGCGAACATGGACGTTTAACTGCAGTGTAACGTTAGAAATTGACCCCCATTGAAAACGGACCCGGTGTACAGGTGATGGAGCTATCTCTCCTGTTATAGGTAATGGTTAATCATGTTAATCTCCAGGGATTAATGGACAGTTCCTACGGCTACTTGAAAATTTATCTTTGTAATATTTGAAGTTAACAGAACTTAAAGTAATAAAACAATTTTGGATTAAGCATGAAACAATACAAAAACATACAGGTACTCTCTAAAATACTAAGAAATATGTTTCTTGATCTTGAGTTAATTTCATAACATTGTTATCGTGCATTTCAGTATGATTAAGTTACATTGGATAGTGTTAAACGCTGATAGAAGCTATGTGTTCTAAACATAGTGAGTTCCTCGTTTAATGTAAACCTATCCAAACCACTGTAGTTGCTAAAAAATTGTGGGATATTATCTAGTGAATAACTGATAGCAGTCTTCAATTCACATTTTCCACGATCATGTTAATCTCCAGGGATTAACCGAAAATGTCAATTTCACAAAACTGTACATTTTACGTATCAAATTAGTACTGATGAAAAGAGCCAATTAAGAATAACTTGTTTTGTTTTAAATATAATATTTCATCAATAAGTAAATTACTAAAGCCAAATGCCTTAAGGTAATGAATATTCTAAAGGTGAATGGGGAGCTGAAAGAAAAGCTTTACTAAGATTTTAAGAGCTCGTATAAGTCAAAATTAGACTATGGTTCCATTGTGTATAGGTCTACTAGACCTTCATATCTCAATTCATTTGACATTGTTCATCACCAGGGTCTAGGGCTCGTTCTCAGAGCTTTTAATACCATACCTACAGCAAGCCTATATGTAGAGGCTAACGAACTATCACTCTATATAGCCGTCGAAATTAATTGGCTTTGCAATACAACATTCAGCTAAGTCAAATCCTTCAAATCCTGCTTTTCCACTTGTATTTGATCCAAAATATAAAACCTTCTTTCAAAACAAACCAAACAGCATTCCACCATTCGGTATTCGGATTTCCGCTCTTTTACAAAACACAAATATTGATATTGACCAACTTCACTCATCTGGAACGATATAAATTCCACCATGGCTCTTGAATTCACATGTAGCTGACTTTTTACCTAATGAAATGGTTGCACCTTTCTTTCATTCTTACCGAAATTGCAGTTAAAATATAAAACATTTCTACATTTATATACTGACGATTCAAAAGATAACGATAAGGTTGCAGCGGCCATGGTTTCACAAGATGAAATCTATGGATGCCGGCTACCGAGGAACGCCTCCTTACAATTGCATATAATTTCTATTAATTACACTTTAAATACACTTAATGACATACTTTGGATTTGTTCCTCTAGAAAATACATTTGTTGTCACTTTGCATGTAAGCTCTAACGGGAACCTTGTGTATATTAGTTTCTAGATAGGTTATATATGATGTAACATCTTCAAAAGGAGACATCTTTCATTCGGGTAAATAAAAATCAAAGCATATCTGATTGTCGGTAAAGTGACTTAATTATGGAATTGATATTGTTTACAGTTAATCACATATACTTGGTTTATTGTTGCTTCACGTCCTATCAACAGCCAGGGTCGTTTAAGGACGTTCCAGGTTTAGGTGGTGGAGGAAAACAGGAGTCCCCAGAGAAAAACCATGACCTGCCGTCAGAATCTTGAAACTACCCAAAGTAGGCCTCGAACCCGCGACCAATAGGTGAAGGGCTAGTGATAAAGAAGATCAGAGGCCTTAACAATTTGGCCACAGCGACCCTATCTTCATTTACATTATATATTATATTTATATGTGTGTGATAAATTGAGGGTTGATATATATGTATGACTTATATAATACGATAAGATAAGATATTCAATGAAGGAAGTGATAACATATATATCTTACAAATATATTTGCTACACATATCTTACTATCTTTTTAAAACTTTTGTGAACATATCGATATCTTTATGTCATTTTTTAAAAGTATGTTATTTAAATTTTTATGTGAGCATTTGTACAATGCGACATCATCAAGTTGTCCTGTTGCAAAATAAACCTCGCATGAAAAGCATAGGGAAGGATGGATGCTGCTAGTAAATCCGTCGTCAACTTTTATTTTCCAGATATTGACCAATAAAAATGCATATCTGTTTAATATGTGTGTAGTATTTTTTTAGCAGCATGTTCTAATGGTTTTGTAATTTATTCAAAGTCACCGGCTAGTGTATAACACTAAGGGAAAATGTATCAATCGCAATGTGCACACCGTCTTCGTCGAACAATTAGAATCTTGTCATTTCCATTTCAGCTGAATATCCGCTGTTTACTTCTGAATTGTCTTTGCATTCTGGAGTTTCTATGTCCCTTGTTTCCTGATCCGCCCGGCATCTGCTGGTAAAAAGTACACATATATAAATACAACGTAGGAACGTGGAAGCACACAACACTAAGTTTTGAATGATTCATGCATTGTCAAACGCGTGATGATCCCACCTGTCCCCCAAAGCGATTACGTCCTGAAACAGCTCGCGAAGGTGATGAAGGAAACGGTGTTCTCTTTATCAAAGTAATAAATAAGAAACATATATTTAAAAAGGGATAAACAACAGGGTTTCGAAATTGGTGGTAATGAATATGAAGACAATAACGTATTTGTTCATTTGGGACTGACATTAGGTACATACATCATGACTGAACACCACTTATATTGTTTCTTTAAACTCACAGATCTAAATGAAGAGCTGAGGCAAAGTGTGTCGAGATTAGTTACAAGGCTTTGTTTATGGTCAATATGTTTAATATTACATTGGTAGGTATGCATGTTGAAAAAACACGAACATATGTATCATACTGTCATTTTATTTTCGGTGAAAATTTCCATTTTGATAACGATAATTTCTGGTAGCAGATTATCTTTTTTTCATGATTTAATTAGAAACACTTATTAATAATACTGTTGTTTGTCATAGCCTCACTTTTGACCTTAGTTGAACGTTCAGCTAGTAGACAAATTTGCGTTACAAATAATCCAAAATCAGAACATATCTTGGTCATGCAAACTGTAATGCAAATAAACATAAGTTCCTTGATTTATTTGCGTTTATATTAGTAGTCTGTTACTTTAAAAAGGACTATGAGTTTTGTAGTCATTTTGTCTTTTTAGATTCATCAATTCATTATCTTGCCTCGAGGGTATGATTTGAAGAAAAAATATCGCGAATTTCTTTCATTATATTTACACTGTTCTACTTACTAGGAGAAGGAAAATTCCTCTGTAGATCACTCTGATGAGTGATGGACTTGGTAGCCATTGATCTCCAATCGAAAACAAAACCTTCTAAAGATAGTTCCTAAAACTGACTTAATATCCGATATTTTGCCATAACTTTCAACATTCAAATTTTCACAGATTTATTTGCACTTCAAAGTCTGGATTTTGTAAATATTTCGACCACTCTGCTAGCATCAGTTTCCTCCCGGTCTTTATAAATTTAGGCACTCTTGATTATAATTGTCTTAGAAAGACGGACCTGACATAATGATGTAGACTATGTCATCGTTTGGTTAGATTATAGTTTATCCTCTTTAATGCTGAAATGTTATTCGCTTGTATTTTGTGAAATATTACAAAAATAAATATGGTAATATTGTATTCTTACTACGACGAAATCGTTATACGCTGAAAATGCTTACTTCCAAAAACGTTTCCCGTCTTCAATTGTTTCCGGTAAGATTGCATCCCTTGTTTCCGGCAAATATATGGATGATAATCCTGCCATTATGGAAAGCATCCCGAAAACTCCAAACGGCAGAATTTGTCCGACCTTTCCGCTTACCAAAATTGTCTGAAATATTTTAGAAATTCGTGTTGCTATTTTAAGTATTAAGTTATGACTGAGTGTTTTGTAAAAACAACCCCCCATCCCCCAAAAAGAAAAAAGAAAAAAAATCGTTTCATTGTTTCAACCATACTTCGGAACTTATTGCAGTGAATATTACAAACATTGTAGAGAGAATTCTTCCAATTAGTGAGAAGTTCAGTTTTCATAACACGATCTTTACAATTATCAAATGAGATGCCCACGGAATAAGGGTCATCTGACTATAAAGACCTATATATGAAAATGGCCAAATAGACCCAAAATAGATTGCTCAACTACACTAAAACTTACATAGAAACCATTGGTTGATTCATAGAGACATTGTCCGCAAATTGAAATATATACACCACATAAATACCATTACTCCGTACATATTGCTTGTTAAAAAAATGCAGCAGGCCCTATATCAATACGCTAACGCATTTCAACACATTTGACCCCTGTGACCATGAATGTAGATCAAGGAGATCAAACTCGGTAGCCCTTCATCCTATTATACTACATACCCAATGTCAGCAGCATGGGCCAATTTTTTTATTAAGAAGTCGTTTAATGATTTTAACATATTTGACCAACATGATCTTGAAAGCCGGTCAAGGTCATTCATATTAACAGTTTTGGTAGACCTTATTCCTACCACGCAGAAGGCCTAATATCAGGTGCCTGGGCCTTTTGTTCATTGAGGAGTCGTTTAAAGATTTTAACATATTTCACATGTGTGACCTTGAAAGTGGGTCGGGTCATTCATATTAATAAAGTTGGTAGCCCTTTACCACATCATACTACCGATCCAATACAAGAACACTTGGCCTTTTGGTTATTTAGTCATTTGAATGGAAAGTTTGCGCAGGGCGGACGACGCCTATAAATCGAGATCTAGAAGTTTGTTTTTTTTTTACTTTTGGTAATCGTCACTCACCGCATCTGCAACATATGGTGCCATGATTCCACCTAATCGTGCTGCACATGCACTCGCACCCATACCCGCGTTTCTTGTCATAGTCGGAAACAATTCCGATGAAAACAAATATATGGTATTATATGCGGCTGATGCGAAAAATTTACAAACCATGGCAGCAGCTATGACGATGATGGGATTTTCTGAAAAATAAATATATGCTCATATTGACGTTAGAATTAAACACGTTATTGGTAAATAGTTTATAATCTTATTAAATCTTGATCCGTTACTCTCATCTAAGAATTAGATTCTGCATTTCAATAAGTTTGTTGGGGTCAAAATTGAACTTCGATAACCATTCGAGACAACTAATTGTCATAGCAAAGTAGTTTCCTTCTAATGTGTCTCTTTGAACTACCTAAGGTCTTTGAGTGAAAGAAAAAGTAATTATGCTATTGGTTTTGTCCGGAAGCCGTAATATACAAGTCATGAAAATTGGTATTCGTACTAAATATCACTCATATTTATAGCCTTTGACGTTTGAGTGTATATCTAACGGACAGTTTCCAATATCTCAAGTTTCAAAGTGTTTATATCTAAGAGGTAAACCCACAAAAACAGGTTTTGAGAGATGCCATTGGATTAAAATAATGTGAATGTCTCCAGTTATTATAACATGTTTCTCTGTAAAGTTCACAGAATTCGACCTCTTTATCCAATTAACAAATTTTGTCTCTTCACCTTGGGTTGTGGTTTGACACGAAGGACACGTTCATTCAATGTCTGAGGTGTATCAGATGATAAAAGACTCTGTTCTTGCAGCATGAACAAGTGATTAAAAGATATCAGGAACTAATTTCATGATAGCTGCTGCAGTGTATAAATATATTAATGTACAAGGCTAAACTAACCACCAAACGTACACTTAACTTGCAATCACAGATCTCGTAACTTTCGGAACTGTTGATGTTATAGCATGTATATGGTTGTATACACTGGTTGGGAAGCTGATAGAAAAGTTAAGACTTTAAAGAGCTGTCATTAGATCAAAATTAGACTACGGTTCCATCGTGTATGGTCTGCTAGACCTCCTTATATTAAATCATTAGACACTGTCATCACCAAGGCCTCACGGAGCTTTTCAGACCACACCTACAGAAATCCTCTATGTAGAGGCTAACGGACCATGACTATATGGCCGTTGAAACCAATTGGCTTTGCAATACAACATTCAGCTAAAGTCAAATCCTTTAAATCCTACTTTTTCACTTGTATTTGATCCAAAATATAAAACCTTCATTCAAAACAAACCAAACGGCATTCCACCATTTGGCATTCGGACTTCCGCTCTTTTACAAAACACAAATATTGATATTGACCACATTTAGTCATTTGGAAAAATAGAAATTTTACCTTGGCTCTTGAATTCACCTGAAGTTGATGTTTCAATTCATGAAATGGTTAAATCAGACACTGACAGTTGCAACTTTCATTCATTCTTCTAGAAATTGCAGTTAAAATATAAAACATTTCAAAACATATTTATTGAAGTCACGCCGATGAAATTTCTGAACAGTATTGATGCTGCTCCATTTCTAAAACACGTTACTCATCGAAAGGAATGGTCACTGCGTTATGCAGTATATACCGGTCTGTAATAATAACGTATCACGGTAAGATATGCAGAAGATGATTATTTGACCTCTTCGTTCTCCTTGATATTGACGTTTTCGCTTGATTAATTTATAAAGTGCAACACCCATGCGGCAACTGTAAACAAATGAAATAACTTTCATTGTAGACTGAAATGTTAACATTTACCTGGCTGGAGAAACAACATGACAAGCATTGATGACGCACACGCACATCCTGCAAGTATTATGCTTAAACTATAAACTCGTTTCCGTCCAGCCCGATCCACACAAAAACTGACCATGATTATCGCTGGAATTTCTATCAATCCTGCTAAAAATATATTCAAAAAGAAATTTCCTTTCATGTTTCCAGCATTAAGTGAGAGTCCATAGTACGTCATGTTAACGACTGACCTGGAATCAGAGAAACATATTCAGATAACTATTCTACTAAAACAATTAAAACTATAACAACATTTGTCATCAAAACCTTAAATAAAACTTAAGTTGACGAAGCCATTATGTTAAAACTACGTGAATTGAAAGGAAAATATCATCTGCTTCAAGGAAAACCACCATTCCTTCAAGTCTTGCGCTCGGTCATATTAAGAAATTCGTTAGGAAAGTTATGACTCATTGCAAGGCTTACATTCTCTTTGGGATCTAAATTCGAATATTTTGTAGAGGCAGTTTTTTTTTCAGTTACATCTATATGCACGCCGTTTGTTCATCAGGGAACTGCTCCCATTACCACGATTTTCTTGGTAGTAGTCGTCAACTAATTGACAAATATTCGGAACACAAGGTTTCAAAAGATGCCGGATGATGAAAATTATGGGATGTTATCATATCGTTATGGTGATTCCATTGAGAAATATTTCTATTTCTTATGCGATATGAACGCGGATGTGTTGGATGCTCGTTAGTTTGCCTGTTGGGCATTGTTGTATATCTTGTTCTCATTTGAGTATGTAACATTACTTAAGTGGGTTGACTAATTGTTCTATGGCGGGTGTCGTCAATAGAACAGAAGACGCTTACTCTTCCGAAACACCTAGTCTCGTTCTCTATTTTCATGAATCTCTGTGTATATCTTTCTTTTATTCATATTTTGCTTAGGTTTTATTGAGTTTGGAATATAATTATGCTGATATTTTGGTCTTATTTTTAAATACATGCTTGTGTAAGCGACATTGTAGGTTTGTCATGTCAGAATGTATACTTTGTGGTTTCGTGTAGTTAATTCTGTTCTCGTCTAGGAACGTGAATTTTCTTGCTTGGATTCACATGGCAGATGGATGTCATTGTTGAACCAGAAGACGTATTCAACTTTGAAAACCGTGTTTTGTTTCGTTGAAAATTTCCATGTAAATCTTTTATTTTGATATTATTTTCCCTTATTCTGTTGAAGTTTTGGGATTTGCCTTGTTGCTTTTCATGCCGTGACCCACTAACATTTTAAGATCCAGTTTGTTTCAGATAATGCAAATAACATTTGGAATATATTCGAGATCAGTTGCAAATAAAATGTGATGTTATAGTAGGACTGGTTTGTAAAAAATGTGTAGTTTTCTGTTGCCCTTGCCATTTGTGATGTTAGTGATTTTCTGTTATCTACATTAATCCCAATCATACTGGTGCGTGTGTTTAATCTTTGGTTCTTTTGACGTCTGTTTGTTAGTGATTTTCTCGAATATATTCCAAAATACAATTTCCCATTCACAAATATCCTTTATATATATTTTAAAAATTTAGTCCATATAACTTACCAATTGAAAAATAGAATGAGCGCTCGAGAAAGAACGCCTCTTGAGAAGAGAAACTGAAACAAATTGCCGGTTGGTGCTTGGACCTTACTCTCTACATTCCTATACAGTCGGGTAATCATTACGTTCCTCTTATTAACCTTGGCTGTCTTTTGAAGAATGACGTTGGCCTCTTCCATTCGGTGTTTACTTATCAACCAACGAGGTGATTCAGGGAGCAGCCTGAAATATTGTTCAATACAATATCTGTTTGATATGCAGATTATGATTATTTAGGGTTCATTTCTGTTTTAATGGTAGATATGGGCTTACTGGGCAGGGAAGCCGGGATACAATAGGGGAAATAGAATGAATTCCTAAAAGCCATTCTTCTGTAGGTAGGGTTTGATTTTGTTCCAATTTGGTCTGAACCATTCTGAAGTGAAAGACTCAATTTTGAAGCAACGGTTATTAAGATATTAAGTGCCGGAGTCCAAAAGGTGAAATATATGAAACACTTTTAACTCCTTCCTGGGTAGGAATGTCAGGTTTCTGTCCAAATATGGTCTGAAACATCCTCTGGTGAGGGGAAATCACATTCGTAAAGCGATGGGTCGCGGCATCTTGGGGTGGAAGGGCTGTGCTCAATTGGGAAACCACTTCTGTAGGAATGATAGGATTCTATCCCAATTTGGTATGTGTGAAGGTTGACTTGTACGTTTAGTTTGTTTTGCTGACACAATGAAAGCAGAAGAATATAAGTTTATAGGGAAAAAACGATGAAAACCATTGCAATTCGTATTCGAATTCATTCGTTTTAGTTAAAATAAATAAAAACTAAGTCAAAGCCAGGTGAACGATTGAGGGCGTATTGGCCTCCTCTTTCTATTTCTGATTTCATGCCATTGACTTTCTCTGTCGATACAAAATAATAAATGTTACTCCCTTTTTTAGGACAAATAAAATAAACGAATAGTGCGTAGGTGTGTGAATGATATGCATGTGAAGCATAATTCCTCTTTGAAAAAATCCAAAATACGTTTTTTCACCGAGGTGGGACATTACACATAGTGAAAACCACTGGCACTGGGCGAATGCTGACACTAAAATGCAGACAGTGTCGTTACTCCTTACCTTGAGTTGAAGATGAGTGAACACAAACTACCCTCTACATCGAAAGTACTATATATATTGGACATGAAAATTTAATTTTCTTGATTTATGTGAAAATCGCGTACATTTTTTCCAACAAAAATAATCAGCTATACGGTATGATGAATTTGTAAATATAGGATGCAAGGTATGAAAAAACGTGAACGACATCGATCTTTTCATGTTAACTTCCTCGTCACAACACCATGTAGAACACCTGAAATAGTTTTTGCTTTTGATAATATATAAACGCATAAATGTTAATCACACCAAACCAATCAAGGAGCAACATCAACATGCTATCGTAGATGTAATGTAAACAAAAGATGTTGAGAAATCGCCAAGAAAGGTCATTGATTGGCAACTAATCGTGAAAATAAAACATGCTGAGATTTGTTGAAATATACGATAAAGCTAATTTTGATATGCAATATAGAAGCTGTAAATACATTAATGTTTTCTTGGTAGATACATACCACCAGTACAGGACAAACAGAAGAGCTGGAGCGGAACAAACAATGTTGATGTAGTGCCAGTGTCTGACAAAGAAACTTACGCCAGACAGAACTACCACACCGAGTGAAAAGAAATCTTGGAGAAACAGGGCAGCGTATTTTCTTTTTGATGGCCCAACCAATTCAACACCTGAAAGATTGTACAAAATAAACTCAAGAGCATAGCACAATTTAGGACAAATAGAAGTAGATTTAGAGTTGATCGAAATTATAGATTAAATTGGATTGTGTAGATGTGAGAAGAATTTCAGAAGTGAAAGTTCACTACAGTAAACCAGAAGGATGTTCTATAAAATAATTCTGTTCTGATAGCATTTTTGTTTTTAATATGTTTATCTAGTCATCAAAATGTACATTTTTTCTTTCACATTTAGGGAGTTTCTGTTTAACAGCAATGTTTCATACAGTCAAAACATCAATCGGTGTAATACTGACTGACACAATTTTTTTCTAAATGAGCTAAACAACACACACGATACATACCCAAGATGAAACCTACGCCGAAGATTCCCTGTGTGGCGGCACCAATTGCTGTTATAATGATAGTGAACACCGCGTAGGAGGACGACCAAGACATTCCAAACGTCAGACCGAACATCAACATCAAAGCTGAGCAATGCGTCGTTTTACGACCAATTCTAAAAGTTTATACAAAATACACAAAAGCGAATAACACCTTTTAATAGTTATAGAGCTAGATACAGATTAGCAGAACAATGATTTAAATTCCATCATTCAGCTGTTTCGTCATTCTATAACTTGTCAGTGATCCTAATGGCATACATTTTGAAGCCTAAGAGGCAACTGAGGAAAATCCAAAGAGGTCGAAAATAAATTTAGACGGGGAGGTGCACTTGACTCATACTTCAATCTCCGTAATTTTCATATGCATGTATCATCTTATAACGTCATGTGTATAATTTGAACAGCGGCAATAATATTCCAATGAATTAAAATCTAGAATTCAGGTTACGCCAGACTTCTAGGACTAAAAATTCAACATCAGTGAATTGCACCTTTAACACAGATTTTCAAAATTAAAGACACGTATACGTTTTCTATTTGATCTTAACCGTAGCATTTCCGTACCACATTGCTACCGTACCGTTTCCATATTGCTACAGTAGCATTTCCATATACGCTTCCCACTCAAAAAGCTTTTATTTAAAGTTCTGTCGTAAAAAGGAACGGATCGTTCCTTTTATAAAACACACACAAAAAAATATAGAAATCACACACACAATATTTATTTCAATATTACGATTTAATTACATTTAACTTGAATCTATAATATAGTTTGGTTAAATAATTTTTAATGTGCACATATTTGCGTAGAGTCTTTATCAATCCAATATATGCATACCCATACATCCTTTAAGATATGTGTCAGATGTAATAGGGTCGGTGATAGAATTAGATGTTACCTACTTATTCATCGGCAGGTGTTTAAATAATTTTTAATGTGCACATATTTGCGTAGAGTCTTTATCAATCCAATATATGCATACCCATACATCCTTTAAGATATGTGTCAGATGTAATAGGGTCGGTGATAGAATTAGATGTTACCTACTTATTCATCGGCAGGTGTTTAAATAATTTTTAATGTGCACATATTTGCGTAGAGTCTTTATCAATCCAATATATGCATACCCATACATCCTTTAAGATATGTGTCAGATGTAATAGGGTCGGTGATAGAATTAGATGTTACCTACTTATTCATCGGCAGGTGTTTGGCTTCATAACACAACCTCTTTCTTTGTCTGATAAAACATGGGCAAATCGGCTACCTACCGTTCATATATCGTTCATTTGTGTCGTCACAATGTCGCACATTTATGAAATCAAAATGACATCATTGACACTTTTCAGCCAAGCACTTTCTGGTGGATGTTATCGTACTATTTTAGTAATTGGAGTTATAACATCCAATTTTTGTACTAAAAACTAATTCCTATGCATAAATATTAACTCACTGGTCAGAAAGTCGACCAAACAGAAAAGACCCCAGGAACTTTCCAACAACAAACAATGACTTGCACAGCGGCACAAGGCGAGTCCTATCGCAAACAATGTTGAACTGAAAGTAGAAAATAGAACAATTGAAATATCAGGATATTGATGATTGCTAATATTTGAATTATCTATTGAAAATGCAATTGCTTTGGGAAATTATTACCATTTCGCAACGATGTTAGAGTTGAATCGTGTCATATAAAATCTGAAATATCTTACATGTTCCATTTAGACTTGTATCCCAAGCAAAATATTTGAATTGTTATAACAACGTATTTTTGTAATGGTCCATTGCTTTTGTAGTATATGGCGCATGACAAGGAAATATACAAATGGAATTCAAGGTCAAATTTATTATTTTTATGTCAGTGGGGCTAACACTGAAAAAAAGTGATGTAATGTATTTGCATTCACGGTATGGGGTGGCGACTTTTTGGCCTTAATCGAACGTCCTCCTATGCGAGGAATTATTAAATTAAATTAACTATTAAATGAATATTTTACCTTGGAGGTAAAGGTTTCATCAAACAAGGAGTTGCTGTAAACCCATTCCGTGCATTTAACGAGAGAAGCGTTGACAGGTTTACTGGATTTGTCAAATATAACATCACTGGCATTAAATAAGTACATATGGCATCGGTCATAATCAAGGGTGGTTTCATCTGCTGACGGTGGTATGTAATTGTTGACAAGTTCCAGATGGTAGCTACTTTGTACATTGTAAGTGTCATTTTCCAGTCCGGGAATTTTACACCTGTAAATAGTGTCAGCATATACAGAAATAGATAATACATAAAAGTCATATTATCATTCTTACTGTTATCGTTTCATTCCGATTAAAATATGGATCCCTATTCTCACTACATTACTCTTTCCTGTAGGATATTAAAGGATCTGAATTTTAATCAGATTGTTTTATCAAAAATCCAAATGTTTGGTATGTCTAATGTAGCACTTAATAAATTTTATCATTCACCATTTCTTCAATACCTAGAATTAGGTCTATGACATTTGACTTACTTTACGAAAGGTATTGTTCCTGGTTTGTGCGATAAAATCACGGATTGACCGAGCGGTTGTTATAACTCTACTCACATTAGTAACATCCACCATTCTATATATTTTTGGTACATATATGTAACTTGCTTTGATCTAGTGAGATCTTAGATAAGTTCGATATTGGTCATAATTCCTCAATATTTCCCAGATTTTGAAGACTTATCAAATGTTGATATAGATAAAAATTATTTCCACCAATGAATCAAACTTTGAATAAAATTGTACTTACAATATATTTTTAATCTTCTAAGCTCTCATGTTTATTCAGGGTTTCTACACAAGTCGAAAATATCCTATTTTATGGACACACCATGCAACAGATTACTTGAAACTTCGTTAAGAAATCATGTCAGTATCTGCCGGAAGTGTTATGACCCTTAGATGATTACTATCAAAATCAGCTCATGTCTGAATTATCTTTTTGCCACTAATTTCAAGAACGACTGATCGATGCAGATCTATCTTACGAGTTATCCTGTCAGTGTCATCAACAGAACAAGAAAGTGTCTAATGAAAACATGAAGATATGTTACATAAATAAATTGACTAGCCTTTTAAATGTGTAATGTGATATATTTGATATTTTCCATTCTTAAAGTGTTGTAGTCAACGGGATATTACTCTGTTGCAGTGACATAAATGACCACAGCATTTACCTATCTGATTGATAAAAATATTGAAACATGTCGAAGAGTTATCGTCCATTTGTAGTTAAGTTCTAATGTAAGTCACAATTATTTTTCTTATATCCCTAAATGGCATACATCACCGTAATGAGGTTTGAAACACCATCACGACTATACGAATGTTTAGTAGGACACAGGCTCATAATCAAAGTGACCGAAAATATCCAGACCTTCGCGGTTCAATTAGAGAACACTCCATTTCTCAGTAATGACTCAATTATTAAAATGTATTTATTCTTTATTAACGTCACACTGATTTTCAAACCATAAATTGTAATAAAAACCTAACAAAGGTAAATAAATCAAGATATTTGGTGGACTGAATACCTATCCTGAGCGTTGATCAATTAACACTAAATTTCAGAATGTTGGTACCGGTATCATCTTGCTTTAAGTCTATCAATTATCAGTATGATTATAATGAAAATAGGAAAAAATCAGTTTTAATGTTTTCCTTGGGATAAGTTGTATATAAGTTTCACGAAGGTCTGCTAGAAAAACACGTTGGGCATTGAATTAAAATTTACTTATAATATTAGATATCAATAAAATGTTTATTTTGTTGTCGGATTATAATAATGGACAGTGGAAGTTACCTGTGTTCAGGCGTATGGAGCGCAATCACCGTCATTATTTCATATAGTCCACCAAACATCACGCTGCAACATAGGAGGGCATACACCCGCTTCTGGTACAAACCAAATTCACCAACACTTTTCAAAATATCCTCCATGTTCATGATTTTTAAATAGGATGTTAGTCTGTTGTCTGCCGATACTGAATGCTGTTACATAACGCATGAAGATGCTGCTAAGGACACTGTATATATAATTATATCTGTAATGTCACGCGAAGCACTTTGTCCCGTTTTTTTGTGGATGTACATACACTGAATATGATCAGCCGACCGGTGACAGTGACACTAATTATCATATTATATATCATATTGCACTTTAACTTTTAGAAACGTCAACGAAATATAATCAAAGGACCTCTTTCACGAACAATGGAATTTTGTCCACGGCTCGAATTAATCCAAACCATGTGACATTTATAGCGCCCCATTACACTCCCCTGAAATAGTACTTAAAAAATTCAAAAGGCCCTAGGGCCTGAATTATTATAGAATTTGTGACATTTACTGAGGGTATAAGGTAAGGTTCAGAAATGGCTCCATAACAAGGCAAGGGTTCATTGCAAGGCTTCTTATAACCACTTATTTTGTTCATTGGAATCTATTTGTCATTTTAAGCAAACATTATTTGTCAAATTTGGCATAAGAAAAAAGTTATGATCAATTAAATAATTTGGCCCCTTATATTTGCTGTTCTTAGCCAAAAAATTGAAAAAAATCGTGACCGGTAAATTTGTCAATTAGCAGCTTAATTGCGTGGAGTCAGAATCTCGAAAGTGACGTCATGTGAATGATTTGATGTTGTGATATATTTCTTATCTTTCTTTTTGTTCTTCAAAATATGAAATAGAGATAAAGAAAGTTTAGAGATGACATTGGATTAAAAAAACATCTTTGCAAGTAAAGTAAGAGGCCTTGAGGGCGCATATCAGTTCTTTAAGATACCCCATTTTCATAGGCATCACCCACGTTTAACTACAGGAATAAGGCTATAATAACATGGCTCAAGAGGATGCCTGATTTACAATACAGATTCATTAAATATACGACTGGCAGACTGGAGGATTTTAGGATTTTTCTGATGGCTATAATAGCCAAGGTAGTATAACATTGATGCAACATGTGCACACATGCCAGATGTTCTTTTCCCTGCAGGGTAAAGACAGTAATAAGCCTCGATAGATCATCTGAATAAGTTGTTTCAAACTGGATCTAAACATAGTATTTTGTTTGTGACTTGTGGCGTGAATGAATCTGACCACGAATGAGATTATCCGCATGTTGGTATACCCAGATCTCATAGTCACCTTCATTTGACTGGTGCTCAACAATATAACAAGTGGACAGTTTGATCAGTTAAATACCACGTGCTAATGTCTCAAGGTACTCAAGATTTAACTGAGGAAAGAAAACATTTGATGCTTCTAGTTTTTAGCCACTCATTTTTGGCTCTACGAGTCATGTTTGGATCATCCGTAACCCGCTTCACAAGAGCATTATCTCTTTGCAAAAGAGATACCATGCGAATTGCAATTTGTATGTCTCTCTGCTTACGCTGGGGGTCTGAAACGTATATGGGCCCTCTGAAACCATACAGGCTTGCGGTTACTATACGTACAAGTTTTCCAATGATTGTAATCAGATGATTTGAAGTGAGTGTATCTTTAAAAAGTACCCATTTTTCCAATCTTCAATGGTAAGACTCCACAACCCAACGTACCTTGGTACAGCAAAGATCATCGTTAGCTTGTTGCTAGGAGATCAAGTACATACCTGAAACAACGATCTACAATCATATTGTCATTTTCACGTAACCATGATGTTAGAAGATCAAAATTACTCATGATCGTTTTTGTAATGCTTGCATCATTGATGTTGCCATAGTATGGTCCTATTGTCTAACACGTATCCATCAGGTAACACAACTGACATTAATTTCAGATATTTGGTTTTCTTTTTCAAATATTACTGCCAACTTCTACAATCACTCCATCTTTCTTGAGGACATTTTTCAGCCAACGATTTTGTGGGGAATCTAGGCTCCTTGATGATTTTCTAGCCTTACCACAATCCTTTTTCACGATGTTTTCGAAATAACACTGGACGTGCATTATAAAGTCTTATCGAATATAGTTTCACACCCCAGAACGTGGTGAGTAGTAGTGCCTCGGGCAACAAAAAGTTACCTGTATACGAGTTCATACGTGTCCGAATCCGTACCGGCTGAAGAGTTGTCCGAGCATATAGTTTTTATTTACAAAATACATTTTTGAAGTGTTTCGATGTACTCCATAGCGATATGAAATTGTCTGACTGATACTAATGTTGCAATGAACACAGAAAAAAATCACTGCGAATTAGAAAGAAAATCAGTGTTACAAAATTTAGAAAATAATTTCAAAGATCATTTGTTTACGTTTTGGCTATCCATATCTTGATAGAAACTTAAATATTGTCCGTTAAATATACATACAAACTTCAAGGGCTGGGGAAGCAGCTATGATGCCAGGTAGTTGTAAAAGTATCCGGGACTAGACTAAGCATTACAACAATATAGTTCAGCAGTGACAAGGTGTCAGATATATGTTTTAATTTTAATCATTGTTCTTAATATTCTTAGTTGTACGATTAAGAAATATGCAGCATGGAAGTTCCACAATAGCACACTATGACGTATTGATATATTGATACATCAAATGTTTGTTTACCTGAAGTAATTACTAGCATTGATGACTTTATAATCAGGTTAGATAAGATATTAAGTGAAGTAAGTGTTAACACGTATATCTTACAAATATATTTTATATACATATCTTACAATCTTTTTACAACTATTTGAACATATCTTTATTTTTCAGTAACTTTATATCAATTCATAAACATATGTTATACAATATATAATTGAACATTTGTACATCGTTGAACTTTGTTATTTTCTATATATTTACAAATACAAATGGATATCTGTTTAAGATATGTATAGTATTTTTTCAGTAAAATGTTTTAATGGTTTTGTAATTAATTAAAAATCACTGGCTAGTGTATAACACTAAGGAAAATGTTTAGAAGGTTTAGAAATTACACTGTTTTACTTACAAGGAGAAGGAAAATTCCTCTTTAGATCACTCTGATGAGTGATGGACTTGGTAGCCATTAATCCACAATCGAAAACAAAACCTTCTAAAGATAGTTCCTAAAACTTACTTGATATCCCATATTTTCAACTTTCAACATTCAAATGTTAATTTTTTTGTAAATATTTCGGCCACTCTGCTGGCATCAGTCTCCTCCCGGTCTTTATAAATGTAGGCACTATCAATTATAATTGTCTTAGAAGGACGGACCTGACATAATGATGTAGATTATGTCATCGTTTTGTTAGGTTATAGCTTACCCTCTTTAATGCTAAAATGTTATTCGCTTGTATCTTGTGCAATCTTACAGTCGGTACGAAAATAGATATGGTATTATTGGCCTCTTACTACGACGAAATCGTTGTACGCTGAAAATACTTACTTCCAAAAACGTTCACCGTCTTCAATTGTTTCCGGTAAGATTGCATCCCTTGTTTCCGGCAAATATGTAGATGACAATCCTGCAATTATGGAAGACACCCCGAAAACTCCAAACGGCAGTATTTGTCCGACATTTCCGCTTACCAATTTTGTCTGAAATATTTTAGAACTTCGTGTTGCTATTTCAGGTAGAACAAATTGCCCAATTACTATATAGCTTACATCGAAGATATTGTTAGTTCATAGACATTTTCTGCAAACATGAAATCACATTATTTATACATGCACTGCACAAATGGCATTACTACGGCAATATTGCTTGTTTTAAAAACATGCTGCAGTCCCAGTATCAAGACCATTGACCTTTTTTGTTACCAAGAAGGAGCTGCTTTCAAAATTCTACATATGCTATAAATATTTGGCCCCTGTGACCTCAAGAGAAAATGAAGGTCATTCATTGTAACAAACTGCGTAGCCCTTCATTCCAGATCCGATATCAGCAGTCTTGGCATTTTGGTTATTGGGAAGTCGTTTAAAGATTTTAACATATTTGACCTCTGTGACATTAAAACTGATCAAGGACATTCTTATTTACACCTTTATGCCATCATAATATAGGCCCAATATCAGTATCCTGGGCTTTTTGGTTATTGAGAAAAAGTTATTTTGATGGAAAGTTGATGACGCACGTCGGACGACGACGGGCGAAACACGATGGCTAAAGGTCATCCTGATCATTAGGGTCAGATGTTCTAAAAATCGAGATTCACGTGTTCCGTTGTTTGTGGTAAACGGAATCGGTACTCACCGCATCTGCAAAATATGGTGCAACAATTCCTCCTAATCGTGCAGCGCATGTACAAGCACCCAAACCTGAGTTTCTTATCACCGTCGGAAACAATTCTGTTGAAAACAGTTGTATGGTGTTATTCGCAGCTGTTGCAAAACATTTACCAACCATGGCAGCAACTATGACGATGATGGGATTTTCTGAAAAATAAATCATATGTTCATGGTGTCGTTAAAATTAAACAATTTGATTAAATCTGACACCTTGACACTCCATATAAAATTAGAATCTGCATTTCGATCAGGTATTCCGGGACAGAATTGTACCTTGATAATCATAATAGGCTACTAACTTTCATAGCCAAGTAGTTTATCTCTTTTTCTTGGAATTTTCTCTTTGAGCGTCAGAAAACTTAATAAAGCTATGGGTTTTGTCCCGAAGTCCTATTATACAAGTCTTCAAAAAATGCGCGGTATTCGTCTAATATATCACTCATATTTAAATATTGTACGTTCTCATTGTTGTTTGATATCATTTTGGTTGGACATAAGGACAGTTATGCCAGGCTTTAGTAGAACGTTGATGGGTGGCAATGGCTTAGACAAAAATTTAAACAATTATGCTAATAACACTAAACTTTGCAAACAAAGCCGAATAGACTATATCTGACTATTTGTTACTGCTTTGCTATATGGTTACAATGTCTAGTATAGGTCATAGTTAAAACTACATCA